TATGTGTATATTTCATTTAGTGAAGAAAAGTTTTAAAGCAATGAATTTTTGCTCGTTAACTTGAAAATAACACTTTTGTATTTCTGTTTGTATTTCAACTTGTGTTATTCACTTTCTTAGAAATAACTTTGTAAACATAACCTTTGTATTTTAAGTTATGAGTTTATTGTTCCTTGAGTGAGTAAGTGTTAGTTAGATTACTCAAAAAGTCATTGACAGTTAGTCTTTGAGTTGTTGTTCCTGGAGAGGCTAAGGTATAGACAAAATTTCTTAAGAAGGCATTGACTATTTGTCTTTGTGGTTTGTAATCAGTTTGGTTATATTAGATTAAGTCTTTGTTGATAAGGAAAAAACACCTTGAAAGATGGACTGGAGTAGCTTCGTTAACACTGAACCATAATTGAAATAATTGTATTCATTTATTTTATTCTTGCGTCATTTCTTTGTCTTAGAAAGAAATTATTTTAAAATATCAATCTTTCCACTACCCAGATTGTGGCTCAATGACTATATTATGGTACGATGTTGTCTACCAGTCCCCACAGACCGTTATGGATAACACAACTAGAATGTGGAATTCCTCTTCTACGCTCCAATGGATTTTACTTTGGCTATATAAGGAAGACTTGGAAGAATTAAGAACAAGAGACTGAATAACAACAAAACTTCACTGAAATGCTCTTGCAGGGAATTCATACGTATATATTTCATTTAGTGGAAAAAAATTATAAAGTAGGTAATTTTTATTCGTTAACTTGCAAAGAACACTTTTGTGTTTCTGTTTGTATTTCAACTTGTGTTATTAACTTTCTTAGGAGCAACTTTGTAAACATAATCTTTGTATTTTAACTTGTGAGTTGATTATTCCTTGAGTGAGTATGTGTTAGTCAGATTACTCAAGAAGTCATTGACAATTAGTCTTTGAGTTGTTGTTCCTTGAGAGGCTAAGTTATATACATAATTTATTAAGAAGACATTGACAGTTTGTCTTTGTGGTTTGTAATCAGTTTGATTATATTAGATTAAATCTTTGTTGATAAGGAAAAATCACCTTGACAAACGGACTGGACTAGCTTCGTTAACAGTGAACCAGGATAAAAATAATTGTGTTCATTTATTTTTATTCTTGCGTTATTTCTTTGTCTTGGAAAGAAATTGTTTTAAAATGTCAATATTTCCACTACCCTGATATTGTGGCTCGAGGACTATGTTATGTTACGATGTTGTCTACCAGTCCCCAGTGACCGTTATGGACAATACAACTGGAATTTGGAATTTCTCTTCTATGCTCCAATGGATTTTTCTTTGGCTATATAAGGAAGACTTGGAAGAATGAAGAACAAGAGACTGAATAACCAAAAAACTTCACTGAAATGCTCTTGCAAGACATTCATACGTATATATTTCATTTTGTGAAGAAAAGTTGTAAAGCAAGAAATTTTTGTTCATTAACTTGCAAAGAACACTTTAGTGTTTCTGTTTGTATTTCAACTTGTGTTATTAACTTTCTTAGACGCAACTTCGTAAACATAACCTTTGTATTTAAACTTGTGATTTGATTGTTCTTTGAATGAGTAAGTGTTAGTCAAATTACTCAAGAAGTCATTAACAATTAGTCTTTTATTTGTTGTTCCTTGAGATATTAAGGTATAGATAAAATTCTACAAGAAGACATTGACAATTTGTCTTTGTGGTTTGTGATCAGTTTGGTTATATTGGATTAAGTCTTTATTGATAAGGAAATATCACCTCGATGGATGGACTGGAGTAGCTTCATTAACAATGAACCAAGATAAAAATAAGTGTGTTCATTTATATTTATTCTTGCGTCATTTCTTTGTATTGGAAAGAAATTGTTTTAAAATATCAATCTTTCCACTATCCTGATATTGTGTCTCAAGGACTTTATTATGATACGACATTGTCTACCAGTCCCAACTGACCGTTATGGACAATACAGCTGGAATTTGGAACTCCTCCTCTACCCTCCAATGGATTTTACTTTGGCTATATAAGGAAGACTTGGAAGAATAAGGAACAAGAGACTGATGAACCACACAACATCACTGAAATGCTCTTCCAAGACATGCATACGTATATATTTCATTTAGTGAAGAAAGGTTGTAAAGCAATGCATTTTTTCTCGTTAACTTGCAAAGAACACTTTTATGTTTCTGTTTGTGTTTCAACTTGTGATAATCACTTTCTTAGAAATAACTTTGTAAACATAACCTTTGTATTTTATCTTGCGAGTTGATTGTTCCTTGAGTGAGTAAGTGTTAATCCGATTACTCAAAAAGTTATTGACAGTTAGTCTTTGAGTTGTGTTCCTTGAAAGGCTAAGGTATAGACATAATTTCTTAAGAAGACATTGGAAGTCTGTCTTTGTGGTTTGTAATCAGTTTGGTCATATTGGATTAAGTCTTGGTTGATAAGAAAAAAATACCTTGACAGATGGACTGGAGTAGCTTCGTTAACATTGAACTAGAATAGAAATAATTGTGTTCATTTATTTTATTCTTGCATCATTTCTTTATCTTTGAAAGAAATTATTTTAAAATATCAATCTTTTCACTACCCTGATATTGTGGCTCAAGGACTATATTATGGTACAATGTTGTCTACCAGTCCCCAGAGATCGTTATGGACAATACAGTTGGAATTTGGAATTCCTCTTCTACGCTCTAATGGATTTTACTTTGGATATATAAGGAAGACTTGGAATAATGAAGAACAATATATTCAATAACCACAAAGCTTCACTGAAATTCTCTTTCAAGGAATTCATACAAATATATTTCATTTAGTTTAAAAAAATTATAAAGCAGAGAATTTTTATTCGTTAACTTGCAAAAAACACTTTTGTGTTTCAGTTTGTATTTCAACTTGTGTTATTCACTTTCTTAGAAGCAACTTTGTAAACATAATCTTTGTATTTTAACTTGTGAGGTGATTGTTCCTTGAGTGAGTAAGTGTTAGTCAGATTACTCAAGAAGTTATTGACAGTTAGTCTTTGAGTTGTTGTTCCTTGAGAGGCTAAGGTATAAACATAATTTATTAAGAAGACATTGATAGTTTGTCTTTGTGGTTTGTAATCAGTTTGATTATATTGGATTAAGTCTTTGTTGATAAGGAAAAATCACCTTGACGGATATACTGGAGTAGCTTCGTTAATAGTGAACCAGGATAAAAATAATTGTGTTCATTTATTTTTATTCTTGCGTCATTTCTTTGTCTTGGAAAGAAATTGTTTTAAAATATCAATCTTTCCACTATCCTGATATTGTGGCTCAAGGACTATGTTATGGTACGATGTTTTCTACCAGTCCCCACCGACCGTTATGGATAATACAGCTGGAATTTGAAATTTCTTTTCTACCCTCCAATGGATTTTTCTTTGGCTATATAAGGAAGACTTGGAAGAATGAAGAACAAGAGACTAAATATCCAAAAAAACTTCACTTAAATGCTCTTGCAAGGCATTCATACGTATATATTTCATTTAGTGAAGAAAAGCTGTAAACCAAGAAATTTTTGTTCGTTAACTTGCAAAGAACACTTTTATGTTTCTGTTTGTATTTCAACTTGTGTTATTCACTTTATTAGACGCAACTTTGTAAACAAAACCTTTGTATTTAAACTTGTGAGTTGATTGGCCTTTGAGTGAGTAAGTGTTAGCCAGATTACTCAAGAAGTCATTAATAGTTAGTCTTTGAGTTATTGTTCCTTGAGAGACTAAGGTATAGACAAAATTCCTCAAGAAGACATTGACAATTTGTCTTTGTGGTTTGTGATCAGTTTCGTTATATTGGATTAAGTCTTTGTTGATAAGGAAAAATCACCTCGATTGATGGGCTGGAGTAGCTTCGTTAACAATGAACCAATATAAAAATAATTGCGTTCATTTATATTTATTCTTGCGTCATTTCTTTGTATTGGAAAGAAAATGGTTTAAAATATCAATCTTTCCACTACCCTGATATTGTGGCTCAATGACTATATTATGGTACGATATTGTCTACCGCTCCCCACTGATTACTCAAAAAGTCATTGACAGTTAGTCTTTGAGTTGTTGTTCCTTTAGAGACTAAGATATAGACATAATTTTCCAAGAAGACATTGGATAGTTTGTCTTTGTGGTTTGTAATCAATTTAGTTATATGTGATTAAGTCTTTGTTGATAAGGAAAACTTACCTTGACGGATGGACTGAAGTAATTTCGTTAACAGTGAATCAAGATAAAAATAATTGTGTTCATTTATTTTTATTCTTGCGTCATTTCTTTGTCTTAGAAAGAAATTGTTTTATCATACTCCTTTAACATAGGGGAGCACACAAGTTTTTTAAAGAGTAATTATTAAGGGATTAGAATTAAATAATCTTAAAAATGAGTAATAACATAGGATAAAAAAATTAATTAGCAAAAGAGAAAACCTAACAAACTCATTCATTGCAACATTTAAATGGTTAATTATAAAACCTTTAATTTCATCATTAATCATTTCAAAATCCCTAAAAAAAGTTTTTGTTCAACATGTAAAATGTTAGATTAAATAATAATATCAGTCTTTATATTTGATACATATATTATTATTTTACTTGCAATGGTCCGCAATGGTCTAACGAAGATTGTCAACAAATTGGAAAAAAAGAAAATTTAAATCACATGGATGTAATAGCGAGAAAAATATCAATGGTTTTTATAGCAAACTTCATGACTATGGCTTAAACAAAATTTTAAAATACTCCAAAAAAAAATTAAAGAGGGAAGGAAAGTTAAGAAATGTTCAATGAATCTCAAAATCGTCATCCCTAATGATGTCTATTAGAATCAATTTATAGACAAAGAATAATAATTATATGATATCCTCAAATGGCAAGAAAAAGATTGAGTCAACGGAGAAATATGAATAAAGTATGTAATTTCCTTTACATAATGATCAAAATAAATCATTCTAATATCAAAATTATCAATAGAGAAATTTATCACTTTTGAACGTTTAGATGGTTTTTCCCTTCTTTATCATCTCAAAAAAAATCTCATTCCAAGTATCTACAACTCCTGGTAAACACCAATGAACACAATCATTTTGTACTTTTTTTGGAATTCCTTTTGCGAACGGAAAAGAATTCCAATAAGCACCCGCGTGACCATCTGGTCTCAACAATGACAAATTCGTTATATCAAGCACATCCAAATTAAGTCCATTTTGTTTAGCTTTTTCCTTAACTTTTTCAAATTCCTCCATCTCAAGATTTCTTATATCCGCATCTATTCCTTTAAGTTTCTTCTCCTCTGGTTCATATGGTTCCATCTTTGAGCAAGTACCACCCTTATCCCAAGAACCTTCAAAATGAGTAGGTGAATATGTTCTCACAATCACATCAAGTCCATTCCCTTTAATAACTTTCCTCTCAATTATGTCATTAAGTGTAATCCTTAAAGCCTTTCTCATTGCAACATAAAATCCAATATCTTTGTACTTAATTTTAACTTCGCGACATCTAAAACAACCTCTAACCGAATCATTCTCATAGTAAATTGAAGGAACATCCATCCAATGACCAAATGACAACACTATCAAATCCATTTGAGCTATATTCTTAGCCCACAACTCATTTACTTGATCCAAATATATTTTATTATACGGCGGCCCGTCTTTTCTTCTTTGATCACCTTTAACAAGAAACGGAGCCCAATAGAGTGACAAATTTGTATTATGCGAGGCAAAGTAATACGTCGAATCCGCGCCTTGATGACGGATTCGTTGTGGTTTTGAAACCGTGGATAATAAACAAACAAGGGACTCTAATTGGTTATTTGCTAAAGAGTCCCCAACAAAAGCTACATTCATGTTTTTTATAAATTTAAGAAAAATATTAGGTTCAAAAGATGAAAGACTACACTCATCTGGTTTCCATCTCCAATTAAGATAGCTTGTATCACGTCTTCCATTGACGATGCAATTTTGTTTGTTCTTGATAATATTACATGTTGTTCCATTATACAATGGTCCTCTCATATCGCGGATCCATCTTCCTTTTGTATAGTCACATAGCTTCTCATAAGGTTTTTCTTTTTCTATCAAAACCAAAACAATATATAAGATAAATTAATGTATCAAAATCTTAGTTTATCTATATATATATAAAAGAAACTATCTATACTACTCAAAAAAATATTATTAAAAAAAATTCGTAGAAATTGATGTATCAAAATAATATAAGTGATGTGATTCATACTACTTAAACTTTTTCTCAAAAGTTTTATAACACTAGAAACTATTTAAACTTTTTCCCACAAGTGCAAGTATAATGTCATAATTCTTTGTTGCAATTCTATATAATATCAAATACACTATAAAAGTGCAAATTAAAACATTAGTAAGGGTAGAGCATTTACCTTTTGTCAATGGAGTGAAAGCTAAAAGAGAAGAGTTGTGATTCATGGAAGTAATGGGAATGGAAAATGGAGCAAAGAAGTTGGAATAAAAATATAGATAAATTAGAACTATGAGTGGGAGACCATAGATGATAGAATGAATGTATATTTTGTTGCGTTTTTCTTTGAATGTGTTTGTAACTATAGTCATCTTTCTTCAAAGCCTATGCTGTTCCTTTTCTCTTTTTTTTTCTTTGTTCATAAACGTATGATGATGATGGGTAGGATCTCTTTAATTTGATGACATTTATTGGTAACATTTTTTTTGGCAAAACTTTCCAATTGAAAATTTGTTTTTTAAGAAAAAAAAAATTTTTTATTGGAACTTATTTCTGTAAAACTAATATACCTTTTTGACTGAAAAAATAACATAACCAGTAGCTGTATTTTATAAGTTTCTTTACAAATCTGTGTACTTTAATTCAGCAGATAAATCATATCTTTTTATTTTATTACATTAATAGTCCTTTTATTATGTTCTTCTTTTGATTATTTAATTTTAATATCATATTGCCATTTCATTTTTTCCTTATAAGTTTGAATAGAATTAATATTAACTAAATTTTAAAGTAAAATTTAAAAATAATGATTTGGTCTGATAAATTACTTAATAGAAAAATTTTAATTTTTTAAAACTCATATTTAATATTATATTGTTTAAAAAGAATTCATGTATGAACAAAACAATAATACATCGTTAGTTAATTTAGTGATAATTAATGTTGAATTTAATAAGGAGGACAATAAATCAATCCTTAATTGATCTCCGAATCAGATAATACTGATTGTGAAAAACTATAAAACAGCAATGTATTGAGAAAAATCAAACCACCAATTAGAAAATATATAATAAGTAAAATCAAACTAATTTGGAAACTTTTTATTTAGATAAAGTTATTTAAATAAGGTAAAATTTGTTTTTTTTACCAAAAAAACAAATGTTAAAATTTTTATTTTCTTACGAAATTATCAAATTTATTTTTTCGTTCCCATAATAAAATGAAGTTTATGAAAATACTTTTTAGCAAATGTTTTATAATATCTTTTAAAAATGATAGGATCAAGTAACATGAAGTTTTAAATTAAGACGATACTAAATCATAATGATTAAGTGTGTGTTTGGGAACCCATAAAATATTGAAGTTAGGAAAGGGAGAGGTAAAAAAAAAAAGCAATTTTTTTCTACTCCCACTGCGGAAACAAACAGACGTTAATTTAATTTACTTTAATGGGTAAGATTAAGTATTTGATAATTTTTATATTATTGTTTTTATCAATAAGATATTTAATTGAAATCATCATCAAAAAAGTAATACTATTAATTTTTAACAAATTCTTAAATACTCATGATAAATAGTTGGTTATCAGAACTTTAAATATAAATTGTGTTAAAATTTTAATTTATTTTAAAATTAAATAAAATAAAAAGTGATATGACATTAAATTATAGTATTTGATTGATTGATCAATGCCCAACTAAATCAAAAAACACATTTTTCATACATAGAAAAACTTTGCATTTATTTTATTACCAAAACAAAACTATTTTATTTTTTCAAGTAAATATTTTAAGAAAGGGCAATGCTGGCACTCGTATGGAGGATTGATTAAGAATTATTAGTTGCATTATGATTTATTAATATGAGAGAGAAAATATGTATACGAGAGATAAAATGAATACTTATATGTATTGTATGAAAGAGAAAATAAATGTGTGAAAGAGAATTATTTTTTAATTTTACTATAGTCCATTAGATATTTTATATGAGAGAGAAAATGAATATATTATATGTATTGTATGGGAGAAAAAATAAATGTATTAAATTTATTTGATATATATATATATATATATATATATATATATATATATATATATATATATATATTATTTTTTAAAAATAATACTCTCTCCGATCAATATTATAAAAAAAAAGATAATCTTAAAATTTGTTTACTATTATAAATAAAAGTTATTAACTTTTAAATTAATTAATAGTTATAGTAGTATTATATTTTTAATGTAATTTAAAAAAGTATTTAATATTGATAGTTGATTTATTAAAAATAATTAAAAATATTATAGTAAATTTTATTTTAATTATATATGAAATTAAGAAAATTAATTATATTTAACTAATTTCTTAATATATTAAAAAATAGTTATTTTAATTTATAATTATTATAAAAAAAAAGTATAAGTGTGATGAAAGACAATTTAATACTTCTAATCCAACGTCCCAAAACATTGATTAGCAGTACCTTTAAGAAAATTCAATTCAATTCGAAATCTTTGACACTTGGTGTCATAATTTAATTTAATTTTATCTAATGCATAACAAAATATTTGACACCAAATTTTTGTCCTTTTTTTAATTCAAATGTCTTATTAATTATATAATTATTGTATTTCCTATTTTAATATTATTGTATTTCCTATTATAATTATTGTATTTCCTATTTTAATATTATTGTATTTCCTATTATAATTATTGTATTTCCTATTTCCTATTTTAATATTAAAAATTTATTTTTAAATATTTTTTAACCTGTATTTTAATTAATGAATTATTGAGGTAATTTATGATATTTTAATAAGATTTTAATTTGAATTTTCTTTAAAAGAAAAAGACTTTTTGTGTTTTATTAAAAAATGTGAAATTCTTTTTTTCCAGGAAATAAGTTTTCTATGGAAGAGAGAATAAAAGATAAAATTTAATAGCATTATTTTATTAGAGAAAATTTTAGTTTTAATAATTTATTGATAAAAATCAGAGTACCATACCATGGTTGTCGTGAATCTCATTAAGCGTAAACTAAAGTGTCATTTGATCATATCTTTTTTATTTAAAATATTCTTTTATTATAAAATTAGGTTTACAGACAAAGTGAAAATAAATACTATAAACACATAACTCTAAAATTTTGGATTCCACGAAAAATAATGTTCAAACAAAAAAAGTTTGCAATTTCAGCATTTTCCCGTGGAGTTAAGACTTCTTTTTTTTATAAATAATTTAGACACATTATGAAATATTCGTCCGCCAATAATTTAATATTTTTGTTAATATTACCTTAAACTTTTGGTGTTTGGATTAATCATATTTAATCAATTTGTAGTCAATTATTATAATATTTGAAATATTTTTTATAATATTTAAATTATTGGAGAGAGAGAAGTTTGCTTTGAAACCAAATTATGTCTATTTATTATTTTTAATCTAAAGATTTATATTTATTCTTTTAATTATGATAATGTTATTTTTAATCAATACAATTTATTTCCTTTTTTAATGATAAATATGATTTATTTTCTAATTTGATATATTCTTTATAACAGAATGATAAATTAATTTGGACGTCTGAGAAGGAAGAGATTTTTTCTATTCGGAGTGTTTATAAGTATTGTATTAATGAGGCTATTGATATATCTCACCTACGTGTTAATGGTAATTAGAATCTTATCTGGAATGTTAAGAGCCCTCTAAGAGTTAAGAATTTTATGTGGCGGTTATGTAGGAATTGCATCTTTATCAGAAGTCGCCTCTTAGACAAAAAGGAATTGTGTAACGGTAGAAATATTGAGACTAAGTCATTGGATTGACTTAACTCGCGCAGATCAAAATAAAAATCGTCACCGCGCTTTATTGTTTTCAAAGGAAAAGAGAAAAGAGCGAGTAAACCAAAAAAAAGAAAAAGTGAATCTAGGTACGGAGTTTTGTTATGCAAAGAGAAGATATTAACACCCTAAACATCCACGGTACTCTACATGAACCTCTTTGAAAATGTGTATTTTATCTATAAAAGGTGTATAGAAAAAATGAATGGTGGAGATGAGAAAAGAAATATTTTTTTACAATTTTGCACCCACTGCAGTTGTGAACCTTTAGTGTCTATGTACCACCTTCTGTGAAATAGGGGATCAGGGTACTCGTAGTTCACTTAAAAAAATTTAAGAGAAGATTGAGTGGAAGACATACTTACTACTCACAATCATGAGAAAGGAGAATTTGCATCATCTCAAAGTGGAGGATATAGGTTAGATTTTAAAATCAACAAAGTCTCACTCAACACCAAAGTGGAAAATATCTCACTTCACTACATATCGTAGAAGTATAATAGCTCACATCACTTATAAGAATCAACAAGAGTCAAATCTTTTGAGAAAAAGTTTTAAAGTAAAAAGGCAAAGTGACAAAATAATTTGAATGAGGTTAATGACTTTTAGTCTTTCAAAAATGTCAAAGTATGATTAAATTGATTAATGTTTGATTAAGAACAGGTTTTTGAAAATGCATGGACCTAAGTCCAAGTTTATTATGAAAGTGGCTCAAGTTAGAAAATAAGAAGAGTTTTGGAAAGGAGGGAGAAGATTTTTGAAATTAAAGAAGATAAGAGGAGATGAAGGGGACTATCCTAAAGCATAAGGTAAAAGTTAAGGAAAGTAACGATCTAACCAACAAGAAGCTAACACTTGACATATGAAGTCAATGTAGAATTCTCATCCTTTGGATTGAAACCAAGCAGGCAAAAATATTAAACCTCTGAGAAATATCAAGCTTCAGGTGATTTAAGTCTTGGCAAAAGTTGGGCAGAGTAACAACTTTATACAGAGAAATCATCAATCATAGACAAAGCATATAATCAGAATAACCTGCACACAAAGAAAACCAACCCAATGCCTTGGAGTAGACCCAAATAACTTCAGATGAAATAACAACAGAGCCACAAGGTCCCAAAGTATCAAGGCTTCTAATCCTAAGTCCGAGAGATCCACAACTCCACAATGACAAGGATAGTAACCAAGTAGTCCAAGTAACCTTAAAGTTTTTTAATGTTCACGTTGATTATTAAGTGTCTTTAAAAAAGAAAATAAAAGCTCAGATGGGCAATGATAAAATGACATAAAGATAAACGCTCAAGTGAGCAAAAGAGAAATGGTATGGAATGTTAATGCCAAAGTAAATGGTACATAAAAGAAAAGACATGAAATAAAAGATATAAAGTAAAAGCATAAAGTAAAGTCAATTGTTAGTGAATTAGAAGTTAGAGGTTAGTTGAATGACCATCTTGAAGCATGCATTTGAAAACTCATTAGAAGATTGATAAAATTAAAGCTTCTCAATAACAAGTTTCATTTTACTTTTTGTCAAG